AGTAGTGTATGTTGATGATATTGTCATTACTGGGAGTGACACTGTAGGTATTTCATCTCTCAAATCCTTTCTTCATACCCAATTTCAGACAAAAGATTTAAAGTTGTTGAAGTTTTTTTTGGGTATTAAGGTGACAAGGAGTAAGAAAGGTATATTCTTGCCTCAAAGAAAATATGATCTTGACTTGTTGACTAAGACAGGAAAATTAGTTGTGCATTCCAAAACAATCTTTAAAGGAGCATATTATTAGAGAGCTTCATAAGAATGGCTTGGGAGGACAATTTGGTAAAGACAAGACTTTGGCAATAGTGGCAAATTGTTGTTATTGGCCAAAAACGCATCGAGATGCAGAAAGGCTAGTGAAAAGATGTCCAGTTTGCTTATTTGGTAAAGGCAGTGCTCAAAACACAAGTTTATATGCTCTTTTACCTAAGTCAGATGCACTGTAGATTTGTTTCAGTATGGATTTTGTTCTGGAACTTCCAAAGAAAGCAAAAAGGTTTGATTCTATCTTTGTGGTGGTGGATCATTTTTCATAAATGGCACACTTTATTCCGTGTTTTAAGACTTCTGATGCGATTCATATTGCTAAATTTTCTTTCATGAGATTGTAAGGCTCCTTGGTATTCCAACTTCCATTGTTTATGATAGAGATGGAAGTTTATGGGACATTTTTGGAGAACTTTGTACAGGAAATTTAACACAGAATTGAAATATTCTAGTACTTGCCATTCATAGACAAATGGTCAAACGAAAGTTGTGAATCAAAAGTTAGGTAATAAGTTAAGATGTCTTATACGGAACAACCCAAAGACTTGGAATTTAGTCATACCCCAAGCTGAATTTGCCTACAACAATTCTGTCAATCGAAGCACAAAAAAGACACCATTTGAGGATGTGTATGGATTAAAACCTCAACATGTGCTTGATTTGGTGCCATTACCACAAGAAGCCAAAGTGAGTGATGAAAGGGAGTTATTTGCTGATCAAATTCAAAATATTCATGATGAGGTAAAAGCTGTCTTAAAAGCGAGCAATGCAGCATACTATTTTGCTGTAAATCAACATCATCGTAAGTAGGAATTTGAGGAAGGTGTTCAAGTATTTGTGCACTTGAGGCAAGAAAGATTGCCTAAGGGTACTTATCACAAGCTCAAGTTTAGAGAATTTGGACCTTGTAAGGTGCTAAAGAAAATCAGTTCAAATGCCTACTTAATTGAGCTGCCACCAAAGTTACAAATCAATCCTATTTTCCAATATTTAGGACTTGTATCAATTTGACGGATTTGATGGGACTCCATCTACTATAGACGATCAAGCTCAGCACCTTCCAATTGCTAAGGCTGAAGTTATTGAAGAAGTGTTAGATGTAAAAGAGGTTCAATCTGGACAAAAGGACCTGCATAGACGATTTTTGGTAAAGTGGCTTGGTAAACTTGCTAATGAAAGCACTTAGATTGCTAAAGAGGATATAGACATCTACAAGAAGTATGTCAAGGCCTACTCATCAAAGCCGAGTTTTTTTTCTGACCCGAGAGGAATGATATAGGCGCATCTAGAATTCTATTTTATTTAGTAGTTTAGTTGGTTTAGGATTTATTTTTCTTTATTCTATTTAGTTTAGGGTTCTTTTCTTATCTTTATTAGGAATTTAGTATTTTAAGTCTTTATTTACGATTAGGATTACTATTTGATTAAAATTTATCTTGGCTAGTACAAATAGGTGATCTTTGATAGAAGACTTATCATTTTTATTATTATTTTGTTTATTCTAAATTTTTATTCAAGAGGTTTCTTTAAAATCCTATCATCTTTCTATTTGTCCAAACACAATCAACCCAATCAAGCTCTAATTGCCTTAACCCTTTTTGCTACACCAGTGTGGTTTCATTTGGAATGTTTTTAGAGAAGCCAACCAGATTAAAGACTCCTGTGCAAAGATTGGAGTGGATAGGAAGGAAACATTTGTGCCTTGCTGGTTATTATTAATCTTAGTTGGGCTGTAATGCGCGCTAAAAGACCAATTACTGTTCATGTTAGTAAAGTTTTGTCAATATAAAGTTTAACATATGTTATTTTGAAGGGTTTTGACTCTGGGCTCTTGGAAAAATTAGATGCCATAATTGGGGTAATACAACAGTGTATAAGTTGCTGTAAAAGTGAGATAAAGTATCACTACAAAACAGACTTTACAAGGCTCCCCTGCATGTTTATGTTCTGTTTTTAGACTGAAATGGCAGCAATGTTTTGCTTCATGAAACCATATATGTTCAAGTGTTTTTCATGTCAACAAGTGTCTTTTAACCAGCCAAAATACCGGTGTCAGAGCTGCAATCTGAAGAAAAGGGAGTTAAAAAACATGAAAGGAAAGGAGATTTGATAGTTGAAGTCACAGCTAGTTCAAATAATTCATAAACCACTCAATATTTAATAATTCTAATGTTCTCTATTTGAGGGTGAAAATTATGATTTATGTGGTGTAAAAAAGGAAACTTCTTTTCTCACTTTGGATGTTCTTAAGTTTCTTGAAAACAGATATGAAGAATTCGATTAATGATGCCGTTGACTACTGCTTAAAAGGAGGACTGAAGAGGAAGAAACCAACAAATGCTGGTGTTCCTGGCATGACACAAAGAGGTGTCTCAGCTGCTTCTTATTTGAGAATCATGAAAGCAAGGTGAACAAAGGAGGCAGGGGACGTTCACATCAAGAGTTCAAAGGTGACGAGGAGGTAAAAGCTATCAACCTATAATCTTTGAGAAGAAGTTCAGGAAATATGAAAATGAAGGAGAATTAAGAATTTGAATGATTATTTTAGTAGACTTATGGATTTGATTGATCAAATGGAAAGTTATGGTAATTCCATAGAAGATGATCATATTGCAAGGAAATTATTTACTAGAATAAAGAGAAATTTGATCCTACAGAGGCTGCAATAGAAAATAAAAAACACCTCTCCACATTAACTGTTCAGGAGTTTATGAGCACGTTGAAATCCAATGAGCAAAGGTTGGCATGATATTCCAACAAACCAATTGAGAGTGCTCTCCAATCCAAGCTCACTTTTGACTCCAAAAATGCCAAAAAGAGACCATCAGCACATACTCAATACAAACGTTGATCTTTTAGAGGGGGTAGGCATGGAAGAGGTACAGGAAAAAGTGTAAGAGGAAGAGGTACAAGAAACTGATGTAGGGTGGACATATGCTAGTTGAGGGATTAAATTATCTAGGATTTTATTGTCCATTTATTTTACAGCTTTTGGTCTAAATTTCATGTTTCCTTCAAGTTAAGGCTCCAGGTTTTTATTTTATTTTACGTTTTCTTGAGTTTTAAGACTCAAGGTTATTTCAATAATCGTCCAATTTGGCTGGACTTTACAGATTATGAGTCTAGAATCTTGCTTTCGATTTTCCTGATGTAATTGGCTTTTATGTCTAATCTAGAAGTTGTTTAAGTCAAGTTTGCCAGTTTCCTAATCCGATAGTTTCAAATTAGAGTCTCATTATTTGTTACAATCCTTAATGGACTAGGAATGCTAGGAATCTGTATATATATATAATATGAGGAGGGATTCACTAACACCAGTGTACAACTAATTTAGTTTTACACCCTTTCATATCTTTTCATACAATTTATATTTGATCAATCTAACTGTTGAATTTTATACAGTATACACGTAAATCATGCATGCCAAATTTCAAGTGAATTAAAGATATCTAACTATTTGTTTGATACAATATATTTTTTACTGTTTAAATATATATTAGAAAAATAGAATTCTGATTGGATAGCACACATAGGTTGCTAAATCCAACCATCAATGTTAAATTATTAATTGTAGAAAGGTGTAAAACTAATTAATTTCACACCGGTATATCTTGATCCCTCCTTATACATAGATACACTGTCAGTGTTAAATTATTAATAGTAGAAAGGTGTAAAACTAATTAATTTCACACCGGTATATCTTGATCCCTCCTATAAATATATATATATATATATTCATTCCAATAAGACGTTGAGTAATTAGCAGAGAATTATCAATATTATTTCTCTTGTGATCGTCTAGTAACTTCTAAAGATCCCACAGTCAGATTAGGGAATTTTGTAAAGAATTTTGACCTAAAACCTGCAATGAACTTTAATCACCTAGGTATTATGGATGTATTATGTATAGATAAAGATATAGATATATTGATGTAATCATTCTACTGACGCATTAAATGATTATCAGAGAATTATCAGTATTATTTCTCATGTGATAATGTGGTGCAATCAACATTAGGTGTAACTTGTAAAGATCCCTCAGTCAGAAGCTTAGGGATTTTTTTAAGAATTTTGACCTAAAATCTGCGATAAACTCTAATCACCTTGGTATCATGAATGAAGCAAAAAATGTAGAGCCGATGAAAGACTCAAACATTGTATACTGTCAGTTCAATCAACTCTGCTCAATATTCACTAGCCAAACCATGCAACACCAGACCTGGTAGAGTTTGCTCATCAAGATTGACTTAGTTATCTTGCAGATCGGATAGGTAGACCAACAGTATGGGAAACTAGGGAATTGAATCAGCATCGTATTTACAAAGTGAAAGGCTTCAACTTCTTGAAAATTGAACTTTAAGGGGTTATGCTGCTACCTTAAAAATCAACATTCTGGCATATTATGGATCCCATAAAACTAGAATTTATAGTAATAGTTTCTAGTGCTACTGCCAAGAATTTGCATTCTAGTTCACATTCGCATTTCACATAATACAGGACAAATTCTTCATTAAAATCAACATCACTGAAAGAGGTAAAAAAAAATAACAATGAATGTCAAGTATGACTGAACAAAACTTTGCAAAGCATAACCGGCCACAAAGATTGCAATATCCAACAAATAGAGTCATGGTCTGGGACTTGGAGCGGTAGCATATAAACAAAAATAGTAAGGAAGCACTGTTCAAACTATATTACACAGGCAAAAACCACACAGAGCATGTGCATACCTGAGCATCATACATGACAAGGCCAGCATAGACCAAGGAGAGGCCGAAAATCGAATCAGAGAAACCCCTGCAATATATTAATAAAGGAATTTGAAAGAAAGAAATTGGCATAAACTACAATTAGTTTGGGTTGAGATGACAGCAACAACCTTTCAAGAGCAAGAGAAGTTGCGGTAGCCACGACAGACTGTCCATACAGAGATGAGGGTAAAATCTTAATGGTAAAAAAGGGCGAGAAAGAAATTCAAGGAATGAATTGTTAGTGTTACCAAAGAGAAAGAAAGGCAAAAGGTGCATTACGGAGGAATGGGTAGAAGGGAAGCCCCCAGCCTGGAAAGCAGTCCTGAAATTGAAATCTTTGCCGTAGAGAATGACAGAAGTGAATGGCTTTGAGAGCTGCCCAATTGCCGCTGCCACAGCGGCGGCCACCAGTACCTTCGACAGCATTAGCAAAGATGAAAAATTAAAAAAGTTGAGCACCCAGCAAATGAGTAATAGGAAAAACACCTTGTTATGGGCGACTTGAGCAATATCGTCAAGGCCAATGTTCACCAGGCAAGTGAATTTTGGTGGTTTTCTTGGAATTCTGATAACATTGTGTATTCTTCCATGGTTTTTGGGCCGTGTAAAGGTTAAAAACAAGGCACGAGATGTCCAACACTGCAATGCCATGTGTTTTTGCACGCCAGCCTCCTTCTGTTATCTTATCTTCCCCAAAACGCCTGTTTTCTTCTCTTTCTACTGCTTCTCGCTATCTAAGGATTTAGTTGGCGCGGTTACACCTTTGTTATGCTACTGTTGCTCACATTAATTGAAAAAATGTCTTGACAATTTTTTTCATTTATTTTTTATATTTTATTTGATATGTTATTTCATACACCAACTACAACATAATTTGCCTTCATAGATGTAGACACATGCATTTTGTCCTCTAAAAATATTTTATATTATGCGTAAAGTTTTCTAAATAATTTTTTTAATTTTTATATTCCAATGCTCTTTTTTTATTTAATAAGAGGTAATTATAAAAGCTTCAACCCAATATTAGTGATCATGGGATGAGCCCAATCAAGCTCGAGTGACACCTTGAAAATATAAGTTTAAATTCATCTATTTAACTAATAGTTAGGGATGAGCAAATAAGTAGATTGGATGGTTTGGTCTATCATATTTAAAGATTAAATAGATTAAATATTATTAAAAAATTAATCAAATTGATCAAATATAGAATTGGTTCACTAAGTTTGATTTTGGACTAATAAATCAAAATTTTATCACTTTTTTTTTACAAATTACAATATTAAAATTTATAAATTTCATCCATAATTATAAAATATACAAACAATTTACATATAAAAAATATATACATTTGTTTCTTCACTCACATAATTATGTATTTTTATATAAACTATCAAATTAACTTTCAAGATTCAACATAGCAAAAAGTCAAAAATAATAAAATTAACATCTACAAAGTAAAACTATAATGTTATAATGCTTTATATCAAAGTCTATATAAATAATAACTAATTATAAACAATATGTTATAAAAACTAAGATGATAAATAATTAAGTTATTAAGTGTAATTATATAAATAAAGTTTATTATAAATTATAATAATACTTATGTATAAATTAATATTTGTATATATAAATATATTATTTTATTATATATATTAAATTAATGATACAACTTATATGTTATAATGTTTTAGTTGTTATAACAAAGCTTGTATAAATAATAACTAATTCTAAACAATATATGTTTAAAAACTAAGATAATAACTAATAAAGTTATTAAGTGTAATCATATAAATAAAATTTATTATAAGTTATAGTAATGCTTATGCATAAATTAAATATATGTGTATATATAATATTATTTTATTATATATATATGAAATTAATGACACAATTTATATGTTATAATATTTTATATCAAAGTTTGTATTGATAATAACTAATTACAAGCAATATGTTATAAAAACTAATGTGATAACTAATAAAGCTATTAAGTATAATTATATAAAGAAAGTTTAATATAAATTATAGTAATACTTATGTAAATATTAAATATATGTATATAATATATTTATACAATTATATATATTCATAACATTTTGTATTACGAAACATTACTAAGGTGCAATAATCATAATATATTAATATGTAGGAATTTACTATCATATATTGTAATATTAACATATAAGTTATATCATTTCAAATATATAACTTGTAATTTCATACTAGTCTAAAATTATAAATAAATAAATATAACTAATATTAAATTGTTATGATTATGATTTGTATACGTATATATAATAAACTAATGCATTTTAAGTATATTATTAATTAAGTTTACTATCAATTTTTTTAATATATATAAAATATTATATATATTAATATATAGAGGAAATTGTAAGGAATCACCCCTTTGATAAGGGCATTTCACAAATAACCATTAAAATAAATTTAACTGGTTTTAGCTATTTTTAGTCAGGATTTGACAAAAATACCTTTGAAACTATTTTTAAAAAAATTAAACTATTCATCACAATTTCTCTCAATCTGTATTTCTAATTTCTCTCTCTCACCATTCAACTCTCTCTAATTTTACATATTGGGGTCAAGGTTCATGGTAAAGATGGATAATGTGGCCAACTGTTTTTTCAAGATGTAAAAGAAGTTGACCCCCAAGCAAGCACAGTTGCAGGTGTACTTAGTTGAGTTCAACTTTAACATGGAGTACAAGCCAGGCATATCCAATATAGTTGTGGATGCCTTGAGCTGTAAGGCAACACTAGCCACAATCAACCAAGCACAATATGATATTCTGCCTAAGATCTGTAAGGGACTAAAGTGATACCCAACAACATAAAACTTGATGCAATGTGTGCATGAGGGTAAGATGCGCAAGTTTTAGGTCGAAGGTGACCTACTGATGGTGATAAGTCATCGAATCTATTTGCCACATGTCGATGACTTATGTAAAAAGATCATCTGCAAGTGCCACTATTCAAAATGGGTAAGGCATCCAAGGGGCCTAAGGCACAACAACATTAATTGGAGCACGATATCATTAGCCCAAGATGTGGATGAACTTTGAAGCATACCTACGAACATGCCTAGTTTGCCAACAAGACAAGGGTGAGCAGCAACAATTGAGAGGCTTACTCAACCACTAAATTTACCATGTAGGCCATAACAGTTTATATCCTCGAGACTTTTTCACTAGTTTGCCTAACTCCAATGGTTTTATTGCCATTATGGTTATGGTTGATAGGTTCAACAAGTGTGCTACCTTTATGCCGGTGACAAGGGAATGCCTAGCCGAGGAGGTAGCTTATGTGTTCATGAAGAACATGGTGAAGTTATGGGGAATCCCTAAAAGCCTAGTGAGTGACAGAGATAAACATTTCATTAGACAATTTTGAGTCAATTTGTTCAAGCTACTAGGGTCCTAATTGCAGTTTTTCACTAGCTTTTGTTGGTAGACAGATAAGTAGACCAAGTGTGTGAATTGCCTATTGGCAGTGTATCTATAGCATTACATCCGCAACACATAGTTAAACTGGTTGAAAATGCTTGATGTTTCCCAGTTCAACTATAACTTGTAGTAACGTGAGTCCACTAGCAAGAGCCTATTCGAGGTGGTTATGGGACAACAGTTGGTGACTATTGGCATGCTAACTAGTTGATATGATGCACTGACACTAACAACATTTCAATATACCTTGGTATTTCATGTGAGCATGCTCAAGCCCTACCATGGCGACCTTCAAGATCCTAGCCAAGGAGAAAATTGGAGACATTCGATGGGTAAGTGAGCATTCTATGATAAGGAAATTAGAAGATCCTTGCCAAACGTGTGCTGCAAAAGAAGAAGTACCACCCACAACACCAGTATCTGGTTTGATGGAAGGGATAGTTGAAAAGTGAGGCTAGTTAGGAAACAACTCAGGCACTTTGGCAGTTCGAAGAGTTGGTAGATTATTTCCATAACCAAGCAACAAGGATGTTGTTGGAATAGCTAGGTGATAGTGTTATGGACCTGAAGCCCTATGTGCAGATTAGCTCAACGATAGGCAAGCTAGCATGATAGGCATGCAAGATTCTTGCCAAACCGAAGTAGATGGCATGTAATGAGCCCAAATAGCCTATGCAAGATTGGCACATAGGGCACTTAGGCAACAAAAGCAAGTAGAGCATGCATGTCATGCTCATTTTGTGCATAGGGGCAAGCCAGCTTAATGGTAAGGGACTATAGCTCAAGAGTAGGTGAGCTAGCTCGATGGTGGACGAGCAATATGGGTTGAGACTTAGATTTTCTAACAAGGTAGCATTGTCGTGCATAGTTAGTGCATGATAAGCCAGGACGTGAAACAGGTGCACAGACAATGCATGACACACGGGAGCAAATTGGTGCACAATTTGCAGCACAAAAGAACGGACTGACATGTAGTTAGGGCACGTAAAGAGGTAGTCAACCCACAAAGTGCACTAGAATCACTAGCTAGCCTATGGCCTACGTGGTAACCATTGCTAGCCATTAGAAAAGAGTTTTAGGGCACGTTAAACTGGCCCACTTAGGTACAAAATGCTACCTAGTTGTTAGACATTGCCTTGTAACTACTCTAAGTGGTCTTTAGCCTATATAAACCCTTGAGCCCCTTGATTTGCAACTAATGACTCTTATACTAAGTTCTTATACAATCAAACTCTCTCTTTGTTCCCAAAGCTCACTTTACTCTTGTTGTGCTTGCCATAAACAATCCTAACTAAGGCTCTTTGAGAAGGTTGTTAGTCTTTCTAAGGGTCCTTGGGTAACGCAAAAGGTAGGTCACACAAGTTAAGAAAAAACTCCTATGACACTTGATATCAGAGTGACAATGGCAAACACAAGAAATAGAGTGGGAACCGAGGGTGTTGCTTTCACCCTTGATGAGAGAGAGGCATGTTTGGATAGAATGTAAAGGAAGTCTTTGTTGAGAGAATGGGGATTGAGGTTGTTGCTTCCACAATTGAGGGAGGGCTATTAGCCATGCAGCTAGCTAACAAGGTGGACATCCCCAAACTGAAAGAGTTTAAGGGCCAGCGAAGTGCCCAAGATATTGAGAACTTTCTATGAAGGATGAAGTAATACTTTTGAGCCATCAACATTGTCGATGATGGTAAGAAAATTAATACAACTTCAATGTATCTTACTAATTTGGTATGTTTATGCTGGTGCAGAAGGTGAAACGAGATGCACAATAGGCTTGCCATCTCTACACAGGTTGATTTTATACAAGTGCTAAGGGCTTAGTTATACATTGAGTATGCCCAAGATGAAACGTGTGGGAAATTAAGGCATTTGACTCTGCATATAGGAGTTCTGGAATATGTTAGGAAGTTCATCGAGCTTATGCTGAATATTAATGACCTAAGCAAGTGGGAAGCTTTGTTCTACTTCCTCGATGGGCTGAGGCCATGGGTAAAGCAGGAACTTTAACATAGCGGGGTCTAAGACATTACTATGACAATGGTTGCTACAAAGTCCTTGATTGAGTGCCATAGACCTATGATTGAGAAGGACATTAGCAAAGAGAAAACCAAGGCTCAATATATTGCCAAACATATGTCGAGGAGTAGCACCAGCGAGGAGACTAGCTTGTAGGGTACGAACTAAAGCAACAAGGTCAAGAAGGATAAGGGAAAAAAGCCCTTGAAGTGTTTTTTGTGTGACAAGCCACACTTGGTCCTAAACTATCTTAAAAAGAGCAAACTTTCTACCATCACATGGGAGGACAACGATGAGCAACCAAGGGGCGGGACCTTGAGGCTAGGAACCATGATGCTGGCAACACTAAAATAGCACAAGCTGAACCACACCAAGGGCTTAGTTTTCGCAAAGCCGGACAAAAAATCGAATGCTTTAGTCTACACTGATGCAAGTGATCTATTTGCTTCTATTTAATAATCTACCTATTTAATAGTATTACTTCAGATTTTCAATTTAACATAATTACTTTTAATCTTTTGCAATTTTGTTGCTATTATTTTTTATTTTTCTTCAAAAGGATTTTGCTTTTGCAAAACAAAAAAACGTTCGTCCTCGTATGCACATTTCATCGACCATACCCCATTTTTAGATTCGCAAATGCAACTATCTCATTTTTGCACCCAAGACCTAACTTTTCATCTTCGTACACCTTTCTACACCCAAATTCAGCTCTCGAATTCCATAGGGAAAACCTTAAAAGGTTTCTAAAAGGTCAAAACATTTGAAAACACTTTCAGGCTCCAGCCATCCATTCAACAACCAAACCACTTGGATGATGGAACACTCTCAACACCTCAATCAAGTCTAATACTTGATAGTTACAACCTGGAACAGCATAAATACTTCCTAAAATCTAACAGTCCAAATATAAATACAAACAACAATTGAACTACTAATATAGCAAAGCTTTTCGAAAACGTAACCAACCAAATTTTGCATTATATTCACATTGTTGATCCTAAGGTGATTGATGGAGCATCACGCTATCAAAGGTCACATGAAAAGCCCCATAAAACCACCTAACTCACATTCTTAACAGCTTCTCATTGCTATGTTTGTTCCCACAGTTTCAGCCTCTTCCATCTCCCCTTTCTCTTCCCCACCAACTGCTGTGGATGGTCCTTGTGCTGCAGCAATTGCCATGACCTCCCCAGGGGGTGGGTGATCAAATTTGCATGTTGCACCATACTTGCACGTTCCAGTCTTCATGTAGTATGGACAATGAACATTTCCCTTCATTGTAATCCCATGAGTCAATTGCCTTGGTAGCACAGACGGATATACATATGCGTAATTGTACCCAGCCAAAAAAATTTACCATCTAACACTACAATTTTTATGCTTGAAGAAGAAATCCTAGACAAATGCTGATGCACCACCAATAAAAAAAAAAAAGCATAAATTATATTCAAGCACAAAAGCCATCTGGAGAAAAGATATTACCTCTCTCCTAGGTAATCCTGCAAGAGTGAGCTTAATAGCCTGCTGAGATGTTTGCTTGGTTTTTGACGCTGATCGATCAATGGGGTGATGAAACTTGCATCTATCCCCAAACCTACAATCCCCTGTCTTCATATAGTACTGCAATGTAAATAAATAAAAGGGGGGAAAAAAGTCACCAAGAGCATTGCTTCCCAAGTTGCAAGTATCATCACAAAGTAAGCCAACAGTTTGTCTAAGGTAACTTGGATGTTTTATAGCATGAAAGAATTGTGCAGCATCTTCTAAAGTAAAATGATATCAACTGTATGACAACCATCATGATGGCAATAAGAACATTAACAACAATGCATTTCAAAATTTTTTTTTTAAAAAAAAACAGCATATACCACAGCTAGAAATTCAAAACACAAAATATGCACCTCACATTCAGTCTGTCCAGGTCTCTGAGGATACACAGTTGGAGCCACTCCCAGCTGCAACAGGTAAACAGACAACATGCATCAGCATTTAAGCAAACAATAAAAATTCTTAAACATCAAGTAAAATGCACTTCCAATGAGCAAAAGATTTTGTGTTTTAACGTACAAAGATATTTTGTAAAACCTAGGAGGAAATATTGAGCTAAAGATTACTCCAAATTTAGCAAAACGGTATCCACAAACAGCCCAAGGCAGTCAACAAGCTTACTTGGAACTACAGAAGACCGTGAGAGAAACTTGAGACACCTTCACCTACACAAACCCATCCATAAACTTATACACCCAACCCAATTAAATGGGTATTGAGCAGCACACCCCTTTAACCGATTTAAAAGCAAGTGATAAATGGGCTGCAATGGGAACCTAATAAGTAGAAATTCTTCAAGTGCAATTTGCAATAACTTTTCCAGAATTAAAAATTTATTTAAACATCAAATTTTTTTTTTTGCAAAAAAAAATCACTTTTACTATATCCTTTTTCTTTTTTTTTTCTAGTCTTTTTTTCCTTTTTCTTATCTCCTTTTCTCTTCTTCTCTTTTCTTTTCTTTTCTTCTTTCATCCTACCAGCTATACAATTTGGCACCACGGGGCAGAACTTGCCTCAACTATGCCAAAAAGAACCAAAATTGGTACAACACCACAAGGGCCAAAACTAGCCCACAGTTGGCGCAACCAGATCCGAGGCTTGCCATGGCTTAATCTAGCCCTGGAAAGCCAAATTATCATCAAGTAAGGCCAAATCTAGGCTTATCAAGCCAGATTCAGTAGATTGGCTTGTGGTCAGGAGGGAGGACAAGAAAAGAAAAAGAACGTAGAAAACTGATCATTTTTATTCGTTTTGAATATGGTAAAATTTTTTAGATCAAAACATTTAAACAAATTTCTCAAACAACAATTTTTGTTTATTAAATTACAATTTCATAAAGAAATAGAAATTTAATGGGCAGGTTGGGCATCTCCCATTCAAATGGGTAATGAGTGGGTTGGACATATTAATATAAATTAAATGGGCCATAAATTAGTAAATGGGTATTTGTAACCTTAACCATTTAAACTCCCAAACCCTCCTAATCATCCTTTGGCAACATATATATATATGTATATATATATATATATATATAGAGAGAGAGAGAGAGAGAGGTAAAAGGCAATCAAATATATCTGATGAAATTCACTTCATGAAACAGAAAAAGTTACATGCAGAAACCATAAAAAATCTCCATTTACCGTTGGAAACGTTGGCTGAGCAAGTAGCGTTGACTGACCTAATCTGGGGTCAATAGTTTGATATATAGAGGCAGCTGGAGTAACAACTCCAATGTTCAGATTACTTGCAGAGGCTACAAGGGAATGGCCTACCACTGCAGCAGGTGGATTAAATGCTGCACAAGAACTCAGCAATGAAGTGTTAGGCACAGGCACTGAATGAAACATTTGGATATTTAAGATCCTGTTTATTTTATCTTTTATATAACAAACACTGTATTAAACATACCATTCCTGTCAGGATGATTGTATCGGCAACTAGAACCATACTTGCAACTAAAATGCAAAAGGTAAGTTAGAAACTTTTGGAAGTTTGGATAATACTCCATAATTCTTCAATAATAATTTGCCACAAGGCTAAGTACCTGCCAGTTTTAAGGTAGAATGGACAATCTACTTCATCCTGTCAGAAGCAAGCATAGTTTATCCATTAAGCCAGATTCACAATGTCATCAAATTAATAATAAAAGATCAGAGAAAAAGTGACATTAGATAAAAAATTCTGAAAACAACCCTCAAAATATCCTGGAAATCTCAAATGTATTAACTAAAATATTAGGTTCAAATACTCAAATCCAAATATCTAAATGTCAATAATCAAAACCTAAACTCCAAGTTAAACATAACTTGGAGCTTCATCAACCTAGCTTTTAAGCCCATGGAAATAAAAGTTCATCTAATACCAAGCAAAGTCCTATCAAAAGAAACTAAACAAGCAACCCATAAAATTGATTGAATCTGGTTTTCTTAATCTAGGTGTGGAGCTGAACTTCTTCCAGAACCTGAAAGAATGCCCTCCATCAAAAAGATCTATTTCTTATTTCTATAATTTTCATATCTCATCAAAAGAAATTTGACATAAAATGAATCCAACCAAACATCAAACTACATAGAAAAAATTGATACCAAAGAACTCAAGAAAAGCTTCAAATTAGGGACTTTCTAGCCCAAATTTTTATTTTCCAGTCATAAACAAAAGAAAAAGCTGCCACCAGCCCATAACAAGTCCCACATTCGCTTTCTAGATTTTGTAGAACATGTTTTTTAGTCATGGAACTTAGCCCTTCTTTTCTTCAAAAATTGAGTTTTGCTTTCAAAAATTTCAATTCCCACTCTACATGGACGGCATCTCCCAGCAGCCCTAAGTTACATAAGGTCAGCGGCATCTTTGTTGTTTCCCTTTGTTGCATTAGCATGTCACTCTTCAAAGACTTCTTGCTTTCTATTACCATTTGGTTAGCTTGAAGAATGTCACGAAAGTAAGAAGAAATTGAGATTATCATATATGATTGATTACGAAGAAATGGGATTAATCCCCATTTGGCACACTAAGGCAGTGCCCTTAACTACGCCTTGCGACATTTCTGCTGATGGCCCTTGAATCATAGCAAAAGCAACCTCAACCGCCGTACCCAGGCACCAGTCTCTGGAAGCTTCTGAAATGTTCAATCTGTATGGCCTCAGTAATAAGAATATTTTGGCCCTGGTTGCCCCCAATAATTAATTGGATCCTTAATGCTCCAGTGAGGCAACCACAGCCTCAGTGCAATGGAAAGGCCCCCCACGCCGGTGTGACAAAAGGCGCCTAAAATAAAAAGAACAGGGCCTCAGTTTCTGCTGTTGGGACTAGGAATGGTTGCCTTAAAAGCTCCGTGAATGGAAGCCAGCTTTTAAGAACTTGTGCATTTTATTAGAGAAAAGGATAGTTGTTCAAGTGGGGAAAGGTGCATTATAATATACAAGGGTCATGAGAATTATAACAGATGTTGACCTCTTTGTCGACTTCTGTGAACTGTCTCATCAAACCAATTGAACCGATAATCTACTCCAGTTATCTTGCCAATCCATTTATGAAAGCTTTGATATAAGGGTCATGAGAATTATAATGGATGTTGACCTCTTTGTCGACTTCTGTGAACTGCCCGGTCAAACCGATTAAACTGATAATCTACTCCTCCAGTTCTCTTGCCAATCCATTTATGACAGCATTGATATAAAGTAGTGATTAGTGTTTTCATCTAAACTCACAGTACTTAACTGCCCCAAAGAGAACACACATCATAAAAAAGGACAAGAGGCAAAACAAAGGGCGGAACATGTTCATACACATAATACTACAGAGAGATTAACTAAACAAACTGAACTGTGAATTATTCAATCATTTCATGTATTATATAATGCACATGGAACACTGCAAGTCCATCCACCATCTATTTATTTAAAAAAAAAAAGACACACACACCACACACATTACCAGTCTTATAGGAAGTCCTTTGGAGTTATGAAATAGTGCAGGCTTAACATCTGCAGTTGCACCCCCAGTCTTACTGACTATTTCAGGCTGCTCACCTCTGGCATTGTCTTGCCCAGATGATGCTATTTGGATATCTTTTGGGTGGTGGAATTTGCAGGTTGCACCAAATTTACATTTTCCGGTCTTCACATAGAACTGACAAAATATAAGATGAAGGATGACAAATTTAATATCTCAAGTTGGTACTAGTGATACAAGAAGAAATAAATGGGTGGTAGATATATATCTTACAGCACATGAGGGCTCAGATGGCCTCTCTGGTAAGACAGCTACCTGTATATTTTCAAAAGCACCCTGACAAATGAATCATGACATTGTCATAAAGGGTAAAAAAAACAAAAACAACAACTGCAAAGTAGGGAAACCCTGGATGACTAGCACATACAGAAATAGCCAATTTATCTTTTGGATGATTGAACTTGCACTTTGAACCAAACTTGCACCTTTGGGTTTTCAGAAAATACTGCAAAATCAAATAGGCAAAAAAACAGAATATGTTGCTCAAATTTAACTTAACAAATAAATTAAAAACATAAAAAATGGTACAAATCACTGCTTACAGGACAATCTGGCTCTCCCGCTCTCTCAGGGAGGGATTCACCAGTGGTAGCGAGTGGAACCTAAACAAACAAGCAGCAACTCAAACTGTATCATAACAATGCAGACTGACTTTCCTTTTTGCCATATCAAGATAGAATTTCTAATAAAAGGAAACCAACATGAGTTCTAAGCTCATTGATACATCCAAATAACAGAGAAACAACTAAATAAAAGGTAAACAAACAACAAAAGATCCATGTCTCTTTAATTGGAACAACTATGCAACACTTGTCCAAAACGGTATGCAAGTAAAACAAAAATAATTCAACCAACCATATATTTAAATGTACACATAGGAAACAAATAACGAGGTGACATAGTTGTAGATATTAATGGAATCCACTCAGAAATTTAGAACCAGAAGCTACTATCAGATAGCCCATCAAACTTAGACAAACAACTGGAAAAGCATATCAATAATCGCTGGATGTGTCAATCTCTCCATCCAGTACATTGAACCCATCTAGCAAGACAGACTGACAGCCGTGGACACATTCATATGCAAGCACAGATGCGCACCAATCAGTAGAATATACGAGATTTATGCCTTTTTACCACAATGTTTTCATTAGGCTGAGGTCTGAAAATGTCTCAACTTCCATTAAAAAAAGACTGCCAGAGGTTCTTGAGTCAGGGCCCTAAGGAGAAGCCTGCTTTCTGCAAATCATCATTCTAGATTGTTCTTAATACAAGCCCCCAAAACAGTGACTCCTCTGATCATGCCCAAGAAGAGCTGCCAAACGTAACTTGCTGTCTTCTATACCCTCATTTAAGCGAAGTTGGAGGGAAAGAAAAACAAACACTCAAGCATATTTGTGCTTAAATATATTTTGATCAGACATGGGTGAAATACATTAGTCACATAGTTGATGTTGTAGGAGGATGAAAATTTAGCTATATTTCAATTTTGTAAACTTTCAGTAGATAACAAAATTCCCAATTTGTTGCCATTGAAAAACATTATAATAGATGTATCATCCATACTGCTTTTTTATAGATAAATGTATAAGCATCTAATCTCTATCTTACAAAACCAGCCCATTATGTAATTTATATCGTGCCATAGAGGCAAATCTATTAGACCCCATTTAATCTCCCGAGTTATATTCCATCCAAAAATTTTTATTTTAAATTTTCATGTAGAGCTATTCTAATGGGCAAGCCAAGCCAGAATCCTCCTAAAACACTTAGAACCATGCCCACAAATGATGACATGAATACAAGAACATTAAGTGCATATTCACACAAAACCTTGTCATTTAATTACACTAAAACCCAAGTTAAAAAAATTAAGCCTCAGTATCAACTTGCCCATATCGAAAGGATCATAACATCATACTATGAAAATGTTCAAATAAATGGGTAAAGGAGGTTGACTATTTCAGATGCTTTCCTCTTAAACGCCCAAGGATGTGTTAAGAGTTCCCAATAAGGAACATGAAATCAGATTACTATGATATTAATAAATGACATCTCTATATAATAAGTATCCAACTATAACAATAACAAGAATGTACAAATTCAAGGAGAGAATGAATTTTCAAACAGCTAATTTTGGAACCATCTCTGGAAAAGTGGACCACTTCTGTAATGCTTGGTTACTTACAGTTATTTAACTTTATAAAACATGCAACCATCAAACTATAGTAGTGTGAAATCTTTTAAAAACATAGATAAAAATAAATATATACCCAGACTACCTTCATACCTATGTTTATCTATGCATAAAGGCAGCAATCATATGTTTTAAAGGTGATAAATAGCAGGAATGTAATAGTACTTCGCTTATGACTATAAAAAAATGCATAATATATGAAAGTCAAGGATTAATTTCATCAAATAATAATGCTTATACTGTACCAAAACAAAAGAAATTTCTATAGGCAGAGTCTAATAAGTTTCATTATCATTGGTGTAAAAGATGGCAATAAACGGTCACCTCTTTCCAATCTGGGATTCCACCTTCAGGAACCCAAATAGGATGGTCAAACTTGCAGCTATCTCCAAATTTACAGGTTCTTGTGAGCATATAATGAGCACAATCCTTCTCTCCTGGCCTCTGTGGATATATAGGTAAATTGCTTGCACTCTCCAATCTAGGTCGCTTGACTAAAGAGCTAGTAGAATACCAAGCTTCAGTTTGCCCAATTGTGTTATGGGCATCCAAAATATTCTGATGGTAGAGCACTATAATACATAGTAGTTATATACACGAAAACAGAAAATATATACATTACTAATATAAGTTTGACATAAAAAGTGCTTTTATACAAAGGAGATATGGTAGTTTGGGAATTATATACCAAATAACAGTATGAAAAAAATTATAAATACTTATAATCTTGTGATTCAAAAAGATTACTAAACACTAGATAGGTAGTTAGACTACATACAAAGACAATTGGAATCATTTGGAGATACTCTACGTTCTTAACAGTTAGATTAAGATCAAGATGACTTACAATATTTTTATAGAAGAAGAAAATAAAATCAGGACAACTTTTGAACAAGCTGATGCAATCTAATAGCCTATAGGTTACCCAGTTAAGCAAGTATATGCACTCACCCATGTGAAGTGTAGTGACATGTTGCTTAGAATATATAAAGTAGTAACAGGTTGAATGATATACAGCCGAAAGTACAAATGCTATAAGCATAAGGTCAATTAAAGTCATCATTGCTCCCATCTCCGACGGTCGAGCAACTCAAACATGTAGACTGACATTATAGTTAAGTGGTTGGTTTGAGTATGATGGCTCCGTGTACTGGGGTGAATCTAGAGAGAAGAAGAGTCACTCTAAAGTTTGAAAGTGAAGTGAAGGCTATTGCAAAGATCGTCCTTAGAAATGGAATAGCATCAATATCAATATTTGAAAGAATTACGGCAAAGAAGGTAGTTTCATTACAAGTAAGACATTCAAACACACTATAAGACAATTGAAACCGAGGATCAGATTTACGCATGTGAATCTAAAGGAAGCAGTAGCTATAATCTGAAGGAAGTTTGGTTACCTTCGGAGGGGCGTTTGATAGGCGCCGCGGAGGAAGGGACGTCGACACCTGGAGGCCAGGGCTGGAGGTGGTGAAGCAAATGCGAATGAGCCGTGGTCTCGGAGTCCAGATAACGCTGGAGCGCGGAGGAGAGAGAGGCCGTAGGTGATGGGCTCGAGTATCTAGGCGTGTATCCATACAATTGGTTAGCCATTTGGCGAGAGAGACGAACCCTGATTCACAAATTCCAACTTGCTCTGCTCCCTCTCACTGATAAATTAGAGAGAGATAGTTATCCAACGGGAAACAGCAGTGGCGTCGGAGGGCAGCCAATGAGCCCTCTTTTATTTTTATTTTGGGTGGATTTTTACACTTTTATTAAAAAAAAAAACCAGTTAAGGACAACCCATATCGTGTTAGAATTTTTTATCCTCAATTTGAATTACATAACATTTTGGTTACTACATGGCAAGACCAGATCAATTTCTTTTGAGGCTTGATGTTTAAATTGGGCTAAACATTTGGTCACTTTTTTAATTAAGAACCAAACATCTCAATTGTAACAATCAAGATCCAAATATTTTTTATTTTTTATAATAAAAATTAAAGTTAGAGGTGTTTGGAACGTATTTGATACGCACATGGCATGGACATTAACTTAAATTTTTGCGTTTAAGCAAAAACAACTCTACTTTTTCTTATTTAATTATTCCCATGGGTTGAAATTTTTCACCATTTTATTTTCTCACCATTTTAGTTTTCCCATCATTGACCCAATTCACCCATACTCCGCTTCCTCTCTTCTACAATCCACCTTCCATCTCTAGTCGTTTTTGTTCTCCATTGTCTTACCATCCAGTTGGGTATCCATCGTTGTTAGCTTATCAAGCGTTGTCTGTTTGTGGGTTTTCATCGCCACCATCTTGTCATCGTTGGCTAAACCAGAAATAGGTAGGTATGCCCTACATTTTCATTTTCATTTTCTATCTTTAATATTTGCCACAAGTGAGGTTACGATTGAATAATTTATCCACATAACGTGTAATAAATTTTGTAAATGGCATATAGCATGTTGTTGTTACATGCTAAGTCAATAATATGATGTTACAAACCATGGTAAAAAAATTATGTTGTTACATGTCATATTTGACCAATGTGAAAGAAAGAAAATCGGTGCATGAAAACTTATTGGCTGGCAAAGTGACTAAATGAAATAAAAAGGTAAAGGTGTGCATGTATTGTGATTGGTCCAAGAAGGTGGCTAAATAAATAACCAATAGAAAGGAAAAGGAAAAGAGAAATGGCTTGGGAACTTAGGCAAAACCGTGCCTTCAAGGGTGAAGAAGAGAAAGAACTTAGTTCTTGCAAACTCCACCTAAAAGAGAGAAAGGAAATAGTGGAAAAGAGAAATCAAATAAGGGTTTGATTCTGAATAAAATATAAGGAAAACTGTGAGCTCTTTTTTTTTCCTTTCTTGTAGAGTTTCGATATTTTACCACCCAAATAGTTTTCAACATTCAAGAAAAAAACCGTGGAGTGTTGATGGAGGTTTAAAGTTTGGTTTCAAGATTCAATAGAAACAAGGTAAGGATTGTGGTTTTAGCTTGAATATTCTTTGAAAATGGGTTAGTAAAAATGAAAAATGTTGTGGCAGCAAAGATTAGTTTGATTGGAAGGGATATAGTTACATGCATGTAACTAAGCTATTGTGAATGGTGGATTTGAAGTATAAGGAAAGAGGCAAGTATAATCTTTCATTTTTAATCCTATGGTTGATAAGAAATCTTGGAAGTTTGTTTATGAGTTATTGTGGCAACTTGATAATTAAACCTTTGGAGAAATATTGAGGTTGCATGCAAAGATCTAAGCCATCACAAAGGTAAGGTATACAATGTGAAATGATTGTGTAATGCCTTAAGTATAGTTAAAAAACAATTGTGCTAGTTGAAATCTTGAAAAAGATATTGTGGACATATATTGTTTTGAAAGATTAAAAAAGGTTAAGAATGTTGGTGCAATATGAATAATATTCATGCAACGTGAATGGAAATTGATATTGTGCTTAGTGTTAGCATGCCAAATGTGAATAATGGTGTATATAAGCTTAGAAATTATTTGGTGAAATCGGATTTATAGTTGATGCCCTATATGTGATTAATAGTATGAAAACAATAGTTTGAACATGATGAATGTTATTAGAAGATTGACATGGGCATTTAAAGTCATAAACAAGATGTCGGGTTTATGTAATTCAAAACTAACACTAAGAATTTAGTGCAAACAGTTATCTTTTAAGGATCAAATATGAAAGTATAGAACTAAATATGAACAACAAGTGTAGAATATAATGGCAGCAAAGCTTATTAAATATATTGGATTGAATTAATGTCAAGAAGTTGATAAGGCAAGGATTATTAATGCAAGCATAAGCTAAGCATTTGAGGAAGTATTATTGAGGAAGTAACATCCCTCCAAGAAAGGTGAGTAAGTGGTGTTTATTTCAAAAGGTTCCACATTATATACTATTATAAGTATGGTAATTTGTCAATGCGTTATGCAATGCTATTGCAGAAAGCATGAGTTGCTACCAAACGATAGGTGATTTGAATACCTATTTGAGAATAAATTATACTCTACCATTGAGGAAGGCATGGGTTGGTAGAAAAGTATATGTGATTGCAAATGCAAATGAAGTTTGAATTTGCTTTGCACATACTACATATGTTATTTATATAAAATGTTTTAGAAATCGAGAAACAAGCCTTTTGCAATGCATTTGTAGCAAAACGTGCCTTGCATATTTGGGTGGTGTGCATATTTGATTATGCTTGATTATTGGCCAAACTTTATGTTCACCATGCTTTGACTTAATTTGAATCGTCATGCAAAGGTTTCACATCATGTGTTCTTGTAAACAAGGTTCTAAATGTTGCTATAACTTGTTTTCAAAATAATTTTAAGATAAACCTTTGGAAACCTTGAGTTGATTATAAAAAAATGGTTTTGGCAAACTGAGAGAATCGAAAGTAAGTTCGAATGTCACATCAGGATAGTGTGACCTTTGTGCATAAGTAAACTCTAGCTAGCGATATTTATTGGGTCTCTGATAAACTGTGATTATACATGGCAAGGCCACGGGTTATGATTATACGTGGCAAAGCCACAGGTTGTTGCATAGTTGTGACCACATGATTACTCCGATGTCACCCAAAAGGCATTATAGTCCAATTCAACTAACAAGTGACATGCTTTTCCAAAAATTGGATAATAAGAAGATGTACCATTAGAAGTTTTGTATGCTATCCTATATGCCATAGTGCATCATCAAGTTTCTTGGCCCAATATTTCATTGATGGAGCTACGACTTTTTCCAAGATTCGCTTGATTTCCTAATTAGATACTTCAGCTTGTCCGCTTTGTTTGGGGATGATATGTACATATCACCTTGTGAGTCACTCTGTACTTTGCAAGTAAAGCTGTGAAGAACTTATTACAGAAGTGGTTGCCTTCATCACTTATTATTGCTCTTGGTATGCTGAATCTTAGGAAAATATTCTGCTTTAAAAATTTATGGACAACCTTTGCATCATTTGTAGGCAATGGTGAAGCATCCACCATAGTCCACAACTACCAAGATATAGCAATTGATGAACAATGAGATGAAGGGTCCCATGAAATTGATCAGCCAAACATCAAATATCTCCTTTTCCAAAATATTATTGAGAGGCATCTCATGGCATCTTGAGATATTCCCCACATGTTGACACCTATCACAATGCAAAACAAAATTGTGAGCGTCTTTAAAAAGCATTGGCTAGAACAAACTTGATTGAAGGACTTTTGTTGTTGTTCTCTTTCCTCCAAAATATCCCCCATATGCCGAAGAATGATAGTGTTTTCAAACAATTTCAACCTCTTCCTCTTGAATGTACGTTCTCATCATTTTATTTGCACATCGCTTAAACAAAAATGGTTCATCCCATACAAAAAATCTAACATCATGGAAAAACTTCTTCTTTTGATAAACATTTAAGTTAGGAGGAAGAAATTTGGTTACAATGTAATTGACGTAATCAGCATACCAAGATACTCTCTTTTGACCAATAAATCATAACTACTTATTAGGAAAATTCTCATTAATCAAAATCAAGTCTTTACCTTGATTGTCATTCTCTAACCTTAACAAATGTTCTACTACTTGATTCTCCGTGCCTTTTCTATCTTTAATTTCCTAGTTGAATTCTTATAGTAGCAATTGTTGTCAATTTTGCATACGCAAGTATATATATTGAACAAGTAATATAGACAGTAAGTTCAGAATCGTATCCCATAGAGATTTGTTCATACTTTTTCACTAAGTACTAAAATTATGACAAATTAATCTTTTTCAAATAACTCAATTTTGCTAGAAAAGTAATTGCAACTAAATTTAATTAAACACTAAACTAATTAGTAAAAGCTAAAAATTTTCTAAAGAAAGACAATATATTAAAACCTAGGATTATGCGTTCATTCAACAATTCATTTGACAACATCTTCTCCTATTATTTACATTCATGGGTGGTTTTAATAACCTAGAATCCAAAGCTACGTACAAGTTTCTATCAAGATGATCACATAAATACCTAACTTAATTGGGTCACTATTTATCAATAGTAATCAATTAAATAAAGTTCCTTAAGTTAGTGTTCTAATTTGACTATGTATGGCAATTAGTGTATGTCTACCTCAATCGCGAACTAGATCACCTAAGTGACGTGAACATACATTATTCAAACCTTAGTCCAATCTAAAATTCCTCTGTCGAGTGTCAATTAGATTCGCAAATCTGTTAATTGTTGGCCAAACAATTGAAAGCATTAAGAGTATATTTGAATAAGCAAAACTATACCCATTCATAGTAAATAAAAGAGAAACAAATATTCAAATTACATGTTGAAATCCACCACAATTCTAGAAAAATTGTTTAGCTTGTAATATCTAATAAAAACTTCATCCAAAGAAAATTAGCCATTAATCTAAGTTAAAGAAAATAAGAAAAACACAAAAGTAGAGAAAAAACTCATAGTTGAAGCTTTATGATCTTGATTCTCCATTATATTCTCTTGCTTTCTTTCTTTGTTTTTGGCTATTTTTCTCTAAAGAAATTGCTTGCTGCCCCTTAAATAGCCTCCAATAACCCTAGCTTCCAAAATCTCATAAGCTTTTTATTTTGGAAAATTCCTCAAGAGCCATGACTCACAAAATAGGAGGCTCAACCCTCACAGCTTATATTTTGAAATTTGCTTAAAAGTTTTTTCAGCATCAAAGCGTTGGCTTCTTGATAATGTTTCTCTATGATTTTGTTCAAACTGGGCAAAGTGGTAAATAAGAA